TTCTGTTAAATTTTTTTTACTGTTTCACTTCATTACTGCTGTGTATGTGCTCCATGTGAGGACGTAGGTGCTTATGTAGGTGGGTTCTGACTTACGGCGAAAATTGCATTACATCGCGCTATAGGAACTGATCTCCGACGTAACCCTAGGACCTTCTGTATTGATAAAAGTGGTGAAAGCGGACAACCCTGTCTTGTTCCTGTTCTTAGGGGAAATGGTTATAGTTTTTACCCATTGAGTATGATGTTGGCTGTAGGTTTGTCCTGTAAGGCATTTATTATGTTGAGGTGTGTATGATTCTTCTATATCCACTTTGCTGAGAGTTTTTTTTTCTTCAAAAATGGGTGTTGGACTTTGTCTAAATGCTCTTTTTGCATCTATTAATATGATCATTTGATTTTGATTTTTCAATTTGATTATGTGATGTATCACATTTATTGATTTGCGAATATTATATCAGCCTTGCAATCCTGAAATCATGATATTTGATCTTTTTAATATAATGCTTGATCCAATTTGCTAATATTTTGTTGAGGATTTTAGCATCTATGTTCATCAGGGTATTGGACTGTAATTCTCTTTCTTTGTAGTGTCTTTATCTGGTTTTGGAATTAGGATAATGCTGGCCTCATAAAAAGAGCTTAGAAGTGTTCCTTCCTCTTCGATTTTTTTGGAATAGTTTGAGGAAGATAGGTGTTACTTCTTCTTTGAATATTTGGTAAAACTTCACTGTGGAGCCATCCGGGCCAGGGCTTTTATTTCCTGGGAGGTTTTTTGTTGTTGTTGTTTTGGTTTTAATTTACCTTTATTGTTGAAAGTATTACAGATGTCCCCTCTTCCGTCCCCTCTCCCCCCATTTACACCTTCCACCTCGCTTCTGTCTCCTTTCCTGGCCTTCCCTGCACTATTGTCTATGAGCTATGCATATATGCAGATATGTTCATTGACTAATCTGGCCCCTGCTCCCCCCCTCTGAAATATGTCAGTCTATTGCATGCTTCCATATCTCTTGATCTTTTTTGTTCATTTTATTTTGTTCATTAGATTCCACATATGAGTGAGATCATGTGATACTTGTCTTTCTTTGACTTTATTTTGCTTAGCATAATACTCTCTAGGTCCCTCCATGCTGTCTTGAAGGGTAAGAGATCCTTCTTTTTTTTACAGCTGCATAAATATTCCATTGTGTAAGTGTACTAGTTTTCTAATCCTTTCATCTACTGATGCGTACTTGGGCTGTTTCCAGATCTTAGCTATTGTAAATAACACTGCTATGAACATACGGGTGCATATTCCTTCTGATTGGTATTTCTGGCTTCTTAGGGTATATTCCTAGAATCGAGATTACTGGGTTAAATGGCAGTTCCATTTTTAATTTTTGGAGGAAACTCTACACTGTTTTTCATAGTGGTTGTACCAGCTTGCATTCCTATCAGCAATGAACTAGAGTTCCCTTTTCTCCACATCCTCGCCAGCACTTGTTGTTTGTTGATTTATTAATGGTAGCCATTCTGGCTGGTGGGAGGTGGTACCATATTGTCATTTTAATTTGCATTTCTCTGAAAATTAGTGACTTTGAACATTTTTTCATATGTCTCTTGGCCATTTGCATGTCCTCTTTGGAGAAGTGTCTATTTAGGTCCTCTGCCCATCTTGTAATTGGGTTCTTTGTCTTCCTTTTGTTGATTTCCTGGGAGTTTTTTAAAATTACTGTTTCAACTTCATCTGTTGTTATTGGACTATTTGGATTTTCTGATTCCTCCTGATTCAGTTTTAGAAGATTGTATTTTTCTAGGATTTTGTACATTTTGTCCAGTTTGTCCTGCTTGTTGGCATATAGTTGTTCATAGTATTTTCTTAAAAACCTTTGTATTTCTGTGGTGTTAGTTGTTACCTCACAACTTTCGTTTCTGATTTTATTTATTTGGGTCCTTTCTCTTTGTTTCTTTTT